AAAGGTACACAATTAGAGGCATAAAATACAACAAAATCAATGGAAAGACAACACACTTTCTCACAAGGGAGATTGAATGTTTCCATAATCTACACTCTCTAAAAAAACACTGAGCTTTTCAGTAAATTCTGTGCAATTTAGGGCATGGTTAACTGTATTTTGAGGATGAACTTAAGAAAAACTACATCTAAAAATGTAAATAGGAGGGTTGGGATTGTGGCTCAGCAGTAGAGTGCTTGCCTAGCACATGAGAGACCCTAGGTTTGATCCTCAGCACCACAGAAAAATAAATAAATAGGTATTTTTTCCAAGTACAGCTGCCGTAGTCTTGGCTGGCCACAAGATCACGAGCCACTCACAGCTTTGTAGATTCAAACAGCAATTCTTTATTCCCGAACTCACACCGGCCTCTACACAAACACGTTCTGGGGAAATTCAAGTTCTGCCTGCAGTACAATTCACGTCCCAAAAACTTTCTCAATTCCACGAGAACTCAACGGGAACTCAGGCAGCAGGAACGCCCTATACCCAGCAGCAATAATCTTAAACCCCGAACTTCCCTAAACCCAGATTGTCTTAAACCAGGATACTTCCTCAAACCTGCAGGATACACCTTAAACCTGGATCCACCCTGGTCCTTGAGCAGGGTCACCTTTCTCAAAGACATGCAATGTCACAGCAAATTTCCATTTAACATGGGGTACACTGACAAGGAAATTTCAATGCGTCATTCCTACTTGGCAATGGGCCTCAGCATACAGCAACAAAAAAATGTATTTTTCAAAAAATCGAAAATAGCAGACTGTATCTAAGACAAGCCAAAATGTTGTACAGGACAGAGACAGTAGAGAGAGCATTTATGTTCCTCCCAAATTTCATAAGGTAAAAGGCCAGCTCCCAAAGAGGTGGCCCAAGAGGATGCAATTAGGAGGGAACAGGAATCAGGTGACATAGTGGGAGTGCTCTTGAGGGGATCAGCACCCTTATTTATACACATGTATTTCTCCTTTCCAGAAAACAAGTGTCATTTACTATTTCACTGATATTCAGTGATTAAGTGATCATAGTTGGATATTTCAGGTATTGCCAAAATTGTCCTTAAAATTTACAATGAAGACAGGTATGATGATGCACATCTGTAACCCCAGCAGTTCAGGATTTTGAGGCCCTAGGCGATGTAGCAAGACTCTCAAACAAAGAATGTAAAAGGGGCTGGTGGTTAAGCAACTCTGGGTTCCATTCCTGATACCAAAAATACCACACAGTTAACATGAACCTGCCAAGTCCAGACAACAACAGTGATAAAACTGTCATCCTTGGTCAAATTCATCACCTTCTGAAGGACAGACATTAGTTTTCCTGAAATCACATTCATAAATTTATCCACCACTATTTTTATAGAATTGGACTCAAATTCTGTAGCAATATCGCAAGACAGAGTTTGTCTGTATCTTATGTGGCATTTTGGAATCTAGGATTGGATTTCAATTTGAAATCACTGAAAAGACAAGATTGAACCTTACAGACATTTTATACATACTCAGGAGTAGCAAAAGGTAAATTAGGTTAAGTAGGTATTTTTTTTGGGGGGGGGCAATTGGTACCCCCGAGATTAAACACAGAGATATTTTACTACTGATCCACATCCCCAGTCATTTTTATATTTTATTTTGAGACGCAGTCTCACTAGGTTGCATAAGGCCTGGATAAGTTCCTAAGGCTGCCCTCAAATTTGCAACACTCCTGTCTCAGCCTCTGGAGTGAGAACGATTACAGGTGAGCACCACTGCACCTGGCTGTAAGTTGGGATTTGTAACAATGGAAATGTAACTAGACTTTTTAAAATCCACTTCTCTCTTGCCTATTTAATAATAGTCCATCTCATTTAAATTTGAATAAATAAACCTGGGCCTCAGATAAGTTAGTGCATCATTTCAAAGTGATACACAGAAAGCTTTGGTGCTGAGGGAGCAAACATGTGTCAGGCTCAAGGGGCAGGGAAGATCCCTGACAGCTGGGACATGCTCCCTCCTGGTCTTGCTCCCTGAAAGCCTCCAGGATCACTGTCCCAGGGACTGAAGTAGCTGTCTAGATGAGGCCTGTTCCAGGAGACTCCTCAGCCCAGAGCCCCAGCAGCTTCCCTGAGAGGCTGCACCCCACACCTCAGGCTGTCCTCTAGGAGGAGCTGACTCAGGGCCTGAAGTTCTGTTCACCCTGCAGGGACCAGGGCAGCTGTGGGCACTTTGGGGCAGCTCCAGGAGAGGACAGTGGCTGAGGACATGGGACCCTGTTAAATGTCCAAAGGGAAACTCTGCCCAAGAAATCTGACATGGTGTCCACACCTAAGGAAGGTAAAAGGAGAAGCACAAGATTTTTACAGCTGTGAACTCAAGTTCTCTATACAGTTGCATCTACATCAAAGAACCTTCAGAGTACTTGACTTGGCTAACCAGACCACCATGAGGGTGGAAAGGCCGGGTTCTGTATGGAGAGCAAAAATTATCTTGGGCTATCTTAAGCTCTTCAATAGCCAATCATCTTAATTTCTGTATCAGACCACAATCTCAAAATTTCTCAGAATATAACACTAACCTTATCAGACGTCTCCAAAATCTACCAAAGCTCAGAATGCAATAACAGACATACAGAAGAAATTTTCTTTATTTTTTTTCTGTACCACAACAATCTGATGTTCCTACCAATGCAATTGGTTAATGCAGTGATACACAGTTTCTTTTATAAAAGTTCACGTAGGCCAGACACAGTGGCACACAACTGTAATCCCAGCAGCTTGAGAGGCTAAGGTAGGAGGATTGCTAAATTCAAAGGCAGCCTCAGCAACTTAGTGAGACCATAACAAACTTAGTGAGATCATATGTGAAAATACAATATAAAAAGGGCTGGGGATGTAGCTCAGTGTTTAAGTGTCCCTGTGTTCAATCCCTGGTATATTAAAAAAAAGAAAAGAAAAAAAGAAAAAAACAAAAGAAAGAAAGAAAGAAAGAAAGAAAGAAAGAAAGAAAGAAAGAAAGAAAGAAAGAAAGAATCGATGTAATTATGTAATCTCTTCCAGGGAGGGACACACACATTATTCAGGGTAACTTGAATCCATGTACCTTAGTATAGTCATTAATATTTGGGTTAAAATGAACTATTTTCTGTAGCTGGGGTTGTCAATGCCTTTAATCTCAACAGCTTTGGAAGCTGAGGCAGGAGGATCACAACTTTCAGGCCAGGCTGGGAAAAATACCCAGATCCTTTCTGAAAATCATATTGAAAAGAGCTGGGGATGAAGGACAGTAAATGAATCAGACATTATTGTAGTGGCATCCCCTTTTTTCACAGAAAATTACAAACTTCCTATCTTTGTATTGCCCTATTTTACTGGGCCACTAGTCTGAAAGAAATTAGCACTCCAAGTGCTGGACTCGAACTCCCCTTACTAGTTTTTTACACACTTGTATCCAGTATAGTAGTTTGTAGAAATGTGCAAACAAGGCCTCTGGCTTTGAGCTGGGCTTCACAGAGAACTTACCAACTAGGCTTCATGGAAACAGCTGGTGGGGGAGGAAAGAAAGGGGAGAAGAAGCTCTCCCCTTCTCAGGTGCTGTCCTTGAAGGGTTATCTTTGTCAGAACAGAGAAAGAAAAAAGCTGCTTTTATGTGTGTGATGTGAGAACTTGACTATGGTGACTCCATTTTGTGAACTCAGCCATGACACACAAAAATGTCATGACAGGGGCAGTTTGCATTCTTTTATTCATGAAAATCCCCGAAGAACACAGAATGATCTATGGTGCCAACTGGAGACTGACTGACTGCAGCTTTCAGCCTTGCTTGCATTGCCTGAACCCCAAATGTCCCTTTTGTGGTTTTTGTGCTTAAATATGGAGCCAACTGAAGGCAGGGGCACCACTCTGACAACCTCATTCTTTTGAGAGCAGAGTGTCTGCCAAGAGCCAGGAATAAAGGCTTAACTGGAATGAGACTGTGTGGTTTGTCTGAGATTTATTTGAGGGTCTCAGTATTACAATGTGAACTTCCGAGGCCCTCCTCTTCCATGATGAGTATAAAATCCTAAAACCACCTGAACTCAGGGTTCAGGGGATTGATTGATTGATTACAGCAAAAGCAGTGCCCTCTGAGACTGGCTGCAGCCAGATAAAACTCTTTCTGGCTATCTTCAGTGCCTTGCCTCCTTTGTCCCTACATCATCATTTCCCTGTGCGCCTACATGACTGCACATCATGGACTATCAGAAAGGGGAGCAGTTATCCTCTATTGATGGAGCCCAGGATTCCATATCCCTGGGATCTATAAAAAACCTCCTTATTCCCTTTAAGGCAGTTATTTTGAGCAAACACAAGGAAGTGTTAAGTGATTATTCTTTCCCCTCAAGTATAACATTCACAAATAGAAAACAAATGCTTTCAAAAGTGTCCTTCTTGCCAGGGACAGTGGCACAGGCCTGTCATTCCAGATATGTAGGAGGCTGAAGCAGGAGGATCACAAGTTAAGGCTGCGGAGGGAGGGAGAAAGGGAGGGAGGGAAGGAGGGAGGAAAGGAAGGAGGGAGGGAGGGAGGAAGATTTTTTCCAATATTTCACTAGATGAAAAGTGACAATCAGCGGACGGTGTGCATTTGGACCGTGGGAAGAATGGACGTCTGGCCGAGCTGTGAGGTGGAGGGAAGGTGGGTTTAGAAGGCAGGAGGCGCCTGCAATTTGGGGGACCTACAGCAGCCTCCGGAGGAGCTCCCCTGGGAGGAGGAAGGTGCATTTGTGGCCCTGCTTCCTCCACGTTGGGAAGAGTGGGTCGGGCCACCAGTAGGGAGCAAAGGGGACACCAGGGCCCTGAGCCGCCCTTCCAAACCCAGGGAACCAGGGGACAGGGCCCAGGGCCACCCGCCAGCGCGGACTCCTCCACCCTCTGCAGCTCACCCGCGTGCCAGGCCCCGAGGCAGGTGCTGACTGCGCACCTTCAGCCCTGGCCGCAAACTCACCATTTTAGGCTTCCGTGGTGACCCGGCGTCCTCTGAGGAACCGCCCATCACCCAAGATCGCGGGGTTCACAGGGAGTGAGAGTCACGGGTTTCCCTGACAAGAGAAGTCAGGCGCCAGAGAAGGAGTAGCCCAGTCGCTGAGGAAGAAAAGCCCTGTGCGCACTGATTGGACAGTTCCTCTAAGGTCTCTGATGGATGGCCTCCAGGCCCGCCTCTGCATCGTGACTGACAGCTGACAGCATCCAATCACTGGCTGAAATTGGGTTAGTGACAGATTCTTGGCCCCAGCCCTTTTCAGGCGGAGCTTCCCCGCTGTGCAGGGAACTAATCCGGTTGAAAGCCTTGGCTTAGCCTCTGGTATGGAGGTGACATGTGGCTCTGCTATATGTGTGCAACAGCCACAGAGTGCTTTCTGAGCATGGCGAGGCCCTGGGTTTAACCTCAACACAAAAATAAACCATAGCTTCTCTGGGAGGCTGGGGCTGGAGGAGCCCAAGGTCAGTGAGACCTTCTCTTAAAATAAAAGGAAAAGGGTGGGATGTAGCTCAGAGGTCCAGGTCAAGCCCCACTGGGTTTATTCCCCAGTACCTCAAAGAAAAACAAAGAACTATATAACATATATATTGTTTTTTTTCAGCTGATGCGACCTCAAGCAACTTAGAAAGACACAGTCTCCACATTTTTGAAACACTATTTAGACACATCATATGTATGGCCCATACCTAATATCTAAAAATGAGAACAATTTGAAAACTATTTTAGTAATTCTCATCACCTCCCGGCCTCTGTGGCTTTGAGGAGGCAGCCTGAGCTATGAAAGGAAGCCATTGGGGTTGGCTCTGATGCTCAGGGTCCCATCCCCAGCAGAGAGCCTGGGCGAGGAAGGAAGGCAATCCTCCAGGGCAGCAATGTGCGGTGGAAATAAAATGGGTGCCTTGTGCTTAGTGTAGATGTTCTACTTCGACTGTTAGGAAGTCTTGTGCAGAGACCTGACTCTGGGGATCCCACAGGTCTGGTCAGGTGTATGCCCCAATATCAAACAGAAAAGGTCATGATGCAAAGCAGGAAAGGAACTTTGACCAGTGCAGCTACACCAGGAGGACAAGGAAACCCTGCCCTTATGCTGTCTTCAGGTGCCAACAAGGACTTTGAGGTTTTATAGAAGGACAATCATAGGCATGTAAAGAAAGGGGAAAGTGTATGTAGGATTCAGTATTATCTGTAGGACTTAGGCTTCAGGCATCTGTGGGTCTCATCTCTGAGAGCTCACACTCACATGTCCCTCTACTGCACAGACTGACCTCATTTTGTCTCTCAGGAGGAAGTCTCCCTGCAGTGTATTCTTTCCATGTCAAGGTTTCAGACGCACCAACATTTTCAAGCAAAGACACAAGCCCATCTGCATCCTGCCTAGGAAGCATCATGGGAAATTCATAGAGAACACTAGAGGTGGTGCAGTATTGGTATCTAAGTCATCCAATGCACATTTCAGAAAAGGAGCTAAAAGCAATCATTGAAACTGCTGCTTCAAAAAAAAAAAAAAAAAAAAACAGAGAAAGAAGAGCAAATTACCCACAGGAAGGTAACAGTATTGGGCACCACGGAGCTGGCACCAGGTAGATAGATGGGCCCATCAATGGACTGTGGCTTGACTTAGGTCGCTAAGGGGCGCCCCGAGGCCCTAATGTTGGAGGAACAGAGAGTGTGGGGGGGAGAGGGCCCTGCAGTCAGACAGCAGTGGCTTAGGCTGTTCCTGGGGACTCACCAGCAATGTCAGAGAGGGGGCACAGGGCATGCCTGGGGTGCTTAAGCAGGGCCCTGGTGGGGACAGGGTGGTTTTCAGGGAGTGAGTGGGCATGAGGGCTGTCTGCAGAGGGGACAAGACAGGAGTCTCAGGGGGGGGGGGTTTAGGGCCATGTTGGGGGAGGGGCAGGGTTGTGTGTGACATTACTGAGTGTGATAGGCCATAGTTTAGGGAGGGGACTCAAGCCCATGGTTGGGGAGACACTGAGGGGTTCAATTTCATAGGGCAGACAGGAGCATTGGGCTGCCTGTGTTAAAAAATGTGCGTGTGGGGGGGTCACCGCTGTGTTAGGGTGGCGTTCCTTACAGAGATTGTGGGACTTGGCCATGGGGAAGGGTTCCGGCTCGAAATGGCAGGGGCAGAGCGGGTCTTAGTGGGGGGCCACTCCAGCGCATTTGTGTCGACCTGGTGTGGGGGGGACTCAGGCCGTGAGTGGGCAGGGTGCGGGTCTTGTAGGGGTTCGGAGGTCCGAGGGTCTCAGCGTGGGGAGGCGAGTCTCCGAGGCCCTGGGGTGATGCGTGTCACCCCACTCGATCCGGGTGCGGCCCCCGATCTGGGAGCGGCCCCCGCAGGCGCAGTTTCCGCGGCTCGACCCTGGCCCCCCTCCTGCTCGGCCTGCACCCCCTCCTCCTTCTCGGTCCCCCACCTCCCTCTGCGCCCCACCCCAGTGCTGCTCTCTGCGCCCAGGGCTGGGTTTTGGCGACTCGCCGTCTCCCGGCACCGCCTCCTCCTGCCCAGGGTCTCGTCCCCTCCTCGGACCTGAGTGGCTCCGCACCACGGAGTCCCGCACCTAGCGGTGGCGGAGGCACGTCCCTAGGGGCCGGGAGCGCCTGTCTGCCTGGTGGATCCTGAGCTTGCGCGCCTGCGCCGGGGCAGGACCGTGACGCAGACCCGGCCGCGCTGGCGTCTCCGCCCCCACCCCACCCCCGGGCTCCAGGGCGCGCGCCTGGGCCCCGGGCTTAATCCGATTAATTTCGGAACTCTGAGCCTGGGAGGTGGGGACGAGAAATTGGTTCTCCTGGGTCCCCGCCGCCCGGGGAAGCTGGGGTTTCTGGAGCTGTTTAATCCGGTTGGGGCCTGAGCACCGTGAGCCCCCAGGCAGCCAGGGCGGCGCAGGGACCCCATTTCTTATTCTCAGCCAGGGTCTTGGGACAGCCGCACCCCCCTCACAGGATCCGTGCGAGTTCAGCTCCACCAGGCTTGGCGTTTGGGCTCTGTAGGGTGCTGACTCCCTGCTCCATGGTTGCACTCAGGACCTTGACCAAGGGGTCTTCTTACTGGGTACCTCCTTGATGGTGCTCTTGGCCGGACCCCGCTTCTTCCGCTCCGACAGATAATCTTTTTTCACTTTTCCAAATCGGTTCTGTATTTTTACCAACCCAAATCAGAGCCTCTGAAAGATCTGGGCTGCCCCAAATCCTTGGGGTGCGTGGGGTGTTTGCTGAAAATAGAGGCAGGAGGCTCACCCCCCTCAATTCAGAAAGGAAATCCGCAGAGGTTGCTGGAGGTGGAGAAAAGGTCTTTTTTTAAACATATTTATGTATGTTTTAGTTGTAGTTGGACACAGTATCTTTATGTTTATGTGGTGCTGAGGAGAGTGCTCTACCACTGAGCCACACCCCCAGCCCAAGGTCTTTGTTTTTAATTTGCAAATTTAAAATATTTGCATTTTCATGTGCGCCCAGACTTACACATGGGGTTATATCCAGAAATCCCCAAATACAGTACATGAGGAATGCATTTGCCAAATCTCACCTATGAATGTCCTAGATTTGCCCATGTCTCGGCTTGGCACAGAATCACGAGCCACTCACAGCTTTGTAGATTCAAACAGCAATTCTTTATTCCCGAACTCACACGGGCCTCTACAAACACCTTCTGGGGGAATCCCAGTTCTCCACCGCCCAATTCACCTACCCCACGAGGATTTTTTTTCCAAAATCCCATTTGAATCTCACGAGAACTCAATGGGAACAAGCAGCAGGAACACCCTAATCCCAGCAGCAATAATCTTCAACCTCCAACTTCCCTAAAACCCCTATGGTCTTAAACCGGGAACGCCCTAAACTTGTCTTAAACCGGGAAGGCCTTAAACTCAAGGAGCGGGAAACTTCCTCAAACCTGATCAGCTCTAAACCCGGATCCGCCCTGGTCCTTGAGCAAGGTCACCTTACATGCAATGTCAACAGCGAAATTCCAAGGCAAGTCCATTTAACATGGGGTACGGTAGGGTGACAAGGAAATTTTGATGTGTCATTCCTACTTGGCAATGGCCCTCAGCATAGATTAGCAGCCCAAAAGTTTTTATGGATTGTTTCCTCTTACTTTTTATTTTTGTTTTTTTTGGTACTGGAGATTGAACCTAGTGTACTTAACCACTGAGCCACATCCCCAGCCCTTTTTTATATTTCACAGAGAGACAAAGATCTTGCTGAGTTGCTCAGGGCCTCACTAAGTTGCTGAGACTGGCCTCCAAATCGCAACCCTCCTTCCTCAGTCTCCCAAGCAGCTGGGGTCACAGGTGTGCACCACCAGGGCAGAAAACACTATGTTCATTGAGGAGACCTTGGGTTCTGAGAGCAGAGATCTCTAAGAACCACAGAAAGTAAGTATGTTGGGTGCTGTTAGGCAGATATCAAACTTACTGAGCATAATCTTGGGTTAAAAATGCTCTAGGGCCAGAGGGAGCTGGAGAGGTATTTGAGGGAGGTTGCTCAGATAGGAGAAGGTGAGAAAGTTCAATACAGCACATAACAGAGATTATTATTATATAATAACAGTTTATATATAATAAAATCATAAAGTAATAAAACATAAGCTCTACAGTATGATTGCCAGCCTATTTTAATGCACAATGTCAAAAATAATGTTGAAGTCAGGTGAAGTGGTGCACATTGATAATTCTAGTGACTCCGGAGGCTGAGGAAAGAGGATTGCAACTTGGGGGTCAGCCTCAGCAACTTAGCAAGGCCCTAAACAACTTAGCGTCTGCCTGGATATAAAATGTCAAAAAAAGTTTGGGTATGCAGCTCAGTGCTAAAGCACCCCGGGTTCAATCCCTGGTAGTAGTAGTAGTAGTAGTAGTAATAATAATAATAATAATAATAATAATAATAAATATAATTTTGTTGATACATTTGCAGAATTGAAAGCTTGACACTTATGGGTTAAGAACTTGGAGTCTCTGTGGGGACCTGGGCTACAAAGACAACAGAGTCCAGGATGTGGTTGGACCTGGAGGGGATGACCCAGCCTTGAGGATGCCAAAGATCTCAGAGGACAAGGGACACAGCTGTTCCATTGTGCTGGGTTTCTGTTCCACACAGCATGGGAGATGGGGAGGAAGCAGGGCTCCTAGGGTTGACCAGCTGCCATCTCTTTCTTCATCCCAAGATCCACTGGGCTGGAGACGGCTTTGGCCATCAGGCAGAGGTGGAGTTGGCTTCAGGTGGTGGCCTGAGGTCATCCATGAATACTCAGGGTCTGTGGTCTGTAAGCCCCCCGGGCTGGGATGTTTTGTAACAAAAGCCCCGGGAGACTAATACAGTGACCACCAGCCCTCTGACCAGTGCAATGACCTGAGTGTGGATGTCTCCAAAAGTCTTATATGGAAATCTTTACCCCCCAAGGTGATGGTGTTAGGAAGTAAGGGCTTTGGGGAGGAGAGGGGGCCCTGAGGGTGGAGCCTTCATTGCTACTGAAAGCCATAAGCTGAGACTTGACCCCTTGTCACATGCCATGTCTTATTTGTCCCATGGCTTCCCCCCTCTGCACCTGCCAATCTGGGGAATTTGGAAGCACCTCTGGGCTAGATTGGGTCCTCTGTGTCAGCTTCTAATTGCAGGAGGTCCTGGGCTCTTTGCTAGGTGCCCAGAGTGGCCCCTGAGGGTGCATTTCATTCAGTTGGATTGTGCATTGTGACTTCATGTGTTGATGTGGGGAATTGTCACCTCGGAATGGATGCCTGAGGTCAGAGTGAGGAGCTGGAGCTGTTTGGACCGGGCTCTGGCTCTTCCCATGAGAAACTGATGTGACTCCATTTTTGAGAAACCAGCCTCTACCTCAGAGCAAATCCTGTCCAAGGAAGGGGGCGTGACCCTTGTCCTTGGAAAAACCCACAGAGCACTCCAAGCACATACCACTCTGCTGAGTGCTTGTCTGTAAATGAGAGGTCTGAGGTGCCAGGGGTCCCTGACTCA